TTCTACGCCCGCTCTCACAGTCGCTCTCTCCGCAGGGAACGCGACACCCATGGGGCGCGCTGGCTTCCTCCTGCTGGCGGCGACGACGCTCTCCTGCCTCGGTAAGACCTGCTTCGGCGAGAGGGAAACAGAGGGACGTCTTTAGGACATCGCCGTAGGACTTTCCTTTTGCTCCTTTCCTCCCTTCCCCCCTTCTCTCCCTCCCTCTTCCGTCCCCCGTCTCGACTCTTCTTATTTACTCTACAGTGGCTATCTCTTTCACTGCACCTGCTCTCGTCCTCATGCTTTTGAAAAAGAAGTTCGCACTCTCCCTTCCCCTTACCCTTCCTCCCTCACTCCTCCGTCCCCCGTTTCGTCCTCCCTCTCCCTCCTTCCTCCTCTTTCCCTCCCTTCCCCTTTCCCTCCCTCCTGCGTCCCCGTCTCGCCCTCCTCTTCCCCTCCCCTTTCCACTCTCCTACTTTCCCCCTACCGTTCTCCCTTCCCTTTCCCTTTCTTCCCTTCCTCCTCCTACGTTCCCCTTCCTCCTACCTTCCTTCCCTCTCCCTCCTCCCTTCCCCCTACCCTTTTCCCCCTTCCCCTCCCTCCCCCCTCCTCCCTTCCCTCCTTCCTCTCCTCCCCTTCCCCTCCCTCCCTCCTCCCTTTCCCTTCCCTCCTCCTCCCCCCCTCCTCCCCTCCTCCCATCCCCTCCTTTCCTCCCTTCCCCCTATCCCTCCCTCTGTCCCACCATCTCGTCCTCCTCTCATTTCCTCTATCCCTCTGTTCCGATGCACCTGCTCTCTCGCTCTCATGCTTTATCCTCTGACACTTGAGATCAGAGCTTCCTCGAGTCAGAGACCGCTTTGGCAGATATGTTGTTGTTATTATTCTATTTAAGAGATTGTTGTTATTTTTCTATTTAGATATTGTTGTTATTTTTCTATTTAGAAATTGATATTTTTCTTTTAGAAATTGTTATTTTTTTATTCAGAGATTGTTGTTATTTTTCTATTTAGAAATTGTTATTTTTCTATTTAGAAATTGTTGTTATTATTCTATTTAGAGATTGTTGTTATTTTCTATTTAGAGATTGTTGTTGTTATTCTATTTAGAGATTGTTGTTATTTTTCTATTTTGAGATTGTTGTTCTTATTCTATTTAGAGATTGTTATTATTAGTCTATTTAGAAATGGTGAAAATGATGATGATGTGGTTTCGATATCATTATTATTGAGATATTATTGTTACTGTTATTATATTTAGGGACGGTGAAAATGCTGATGATGTGATCTAGATATTATCATAATTGAGATATTGTTGTTATTGTAATCATATCCAAGTATGGTGAAAATTGATGATGATGTGATCTAGATATTACTGACTGGTGGTTTTATATTGCTTTGAATGGGATGTGGTTTTGTTGGTGTCACAGCTGGTAATTTTCGTTTGTGAATGTTGTTGTTTTTGTTGTCATTGTTGCTGCTGACGATGTTGTTATTTTTGTTGTGGTTGTTGTTGATGTTATTGACGATGTTGTTGTTGTTGATGTTACTGACGATGTTGTTGTTGTTGTTGATGTTACTGACGATGTTGTTGCTGTTGTGGCTGTTTTTTTTTGTTGTGGTTATTTTTGTTGTTGATGTATTTGACGATGTTGTTGTTGCTGTTGTGGTTGCTGTTGTTTTGGTTATTGTTGTTGTTGCTAATGTTATTGACGATGTTGCTGTTGTGGTTGTTGTTGTTGGTGTTTCTTGACGATATTATTGTTGTTGATGTTCTTGACGATGTTGTTGTTGCTGTTTTGGTTGTTGTTGTTGTTTTTGTTGTGGTTATTTTTGTTGTTGCTGTTATAAACGATGTTGTTGTTGCTATTTTGGTTGTTGTTGTTTTTGTTGTGGTTATTTTTGTTGTTGATGTTATTAACGATGTTGTTCTTGCTGTTTTGGTTGTTGTTGTTTTTGTTGTGGTTATTTTTGTTGTTGATGTTATTAACAATGTTGTTGACGTTATTGACGATGTAGTTGTTGTTGTTGTTGATTTTGTTGTGGTTATTATTGTTGTTGATGTTATTGACGATATTGTTGTGTTTGTTGCTGCTGTTGTTGATGCATGGCCCACAGACTATAGTTTTACTTTTTAAACAGGATGACAATATATACAATAGGGAGCTATGATTTCCTAGAAAACATTGCTCTCTCTCTCTCTCTCTCTTTCTGTCTTTCTCTCTCTCTCTCTCTCTCTCTCTCTCTCTCTCTCTCTCTCTCTCTCTCTCTCTCTCTCTCTCTCTCTCTCTCTCTCTCTACTCTCTCTCTCTCTCTCTCTCTCTCTCCCTCTCTCCCTCTCTCCCTCTCACTTTCTCTTTTCTTCCCTCTCCCTCTCTTCCTTTACATATATCTCCATTCATCATTTTCTTTCCTTTCTTCTATTTCTTCTTCTTCTTCTTCTCTTCTTCCTTCTTCTCCTCGCGGTACAAAAAGAAAGGAAATAATGGAGAAAAAAAATACAGAAACGAATTCCAAAGACC